CACTTGATTTTGTAATAAATTTATTTGTGACTTCAAAGTTTTAATTCATTTAGAATTGTGTGTAAACTGTCCTGTGTACATGAATTTACTCCGCAAACAATCTCCTATTTGATCGGTGTTATTAACCCGCAAAAGCAGTTCTCTGTTGGGAGTACCTTCGATAAATTGATGTTCTTGTGTTTCTGAAATATGGTCATTTCCCTCCATAACTTCGTCGTTCCTCGACATCTTTATAATTTTTTTTAGTGTCACAATTTTCTTATTCAGCGCATCCCAACGAGGGTATAAGGTCATTACTTAATCAGTTAATCGTGGGCTGCTGTTGGTTTCTGGTAACAGGTCAAGGTTGAAATGGTTGTCCACAAAATCTATATAAAATCGGAATAACGACCAATTTTTGGTTCACCAAATAATGGGCGAAATAACCAAATTGTAGTTCACTATAATATCTGCACTAGAACCGTGATGAATAACACGTTGTAAAGTGTATGATATTTATTAACACGATCAAATGGTTCAGTTATAAACACAATGGAAAAAAAAACTGTAGTTTGTTGGTACAACGTTATTTGGTTAATACAAAGATGACGAATCAATGGTCAATCCAGGACGTTTCTACATGTACTCTAAATGACTCTTCACTAATGATTTCGTATACATAGACTTGGTACTGTTTGTACATACCACTGTCTTACACCCGAAGTATACGGAGTCGCTACCCACTGTAGACTGACTTCTAAATACAAAACAGCTGTCTTTTATAGACAGAAGTTGTTATGATGACGTATAAATGTCAGATACCAATAACGTCACAATCAATATCTAATTTGTAAGTTAGTTTTAACCACTTAAATTACTAAATAACGTTGTACCTATATAGAACATATACAATATAAGGCTTTGTCATTACAATACATAAGTCAAGTTGATAAAGTTCAAATAAATCAATTATTGTTCAATTCTTTCGTTCATTGTTCACAGACAAATATTTTAGTAGTTTAAACACATCGGGTTCAGGGTCCGTTTATTCGGAACTTGTCAACAACAGTTAATCCGAATTTCAAAGGTAAACTTATCGGAACGAAACAGTTAATCCGAATTTCACAGGTAAACTTATCGGAACGAAACAGTATTAACGAATACATGTAGTTACTCAATGACTTCCCATCTAGTTCTTCCATGGAGTCATGTTTATGTTATTTGTCGTAAAGGATACACTATACTAATATTCAAAGTCCACTTGTCTAATATACTAATAAACACTTGTTTGTAACTTGTCTAATATACTATTTAAACACTTGTTTGTAACTTGTCTAATATACTAATAAACACTTGTTTGTAACTTGTCTAATATACTAATAAACACTTGTTTGTAACTTGTCTAATATACTAATAAACACTTGTTTGTAGTCATGGGATGTTTAAATACAATTAATCATTTTTTAATGTAAAAACAAGTTATTGTTTATTAAACAGTCTGGAAGGGAAAGACATCCGTTTTCGTTAAGAAAAAATGAAGTTCTAAATCATGGGCGGATACAGGATTTGTGATTAGGGGGGGGGGGGGGCATGGATAACTTTCTTCAGGCAGGGGGTCTGGGGGCCGCCTGAAGGCCCCCAGTGGGTCCAGGGCGAAGCCCTGGTGGGGGCCCAGGGGGCGGAGCCCCCGGAAGCTCCTGGGTTTTCGTGTATTTTAAGAGTAAAACCAGGCGCAATAATAGGGGTATTGGTTAGTTTATATGTACCAAAGTTTGGCATTATTAATACTAGTCATATCATACTTTGAATAGAGGGGGCCCAGGGGGCGAAGCCCCCGGAAGCTCCTGGGTTTTCGTGTATTTTAAGAGTAAAACCAGGCACAAAAATAGCGGTATTGGTTTGTTATATACCAAAGTATGGCATTATTGATATTAGTCATATCATACTTTGAAAATGTTAGGGGGGGGGCGTGCGCCCCCCCCCCCCCTTAAATCCGCCAGTGTAAATGAAATTTTCGTTGACGAGTGTGCTATTTTCAAATAAAATTATACAACAAAGGTCACAAAAATAACTTTACAATTTGTTTAACTGCCATTCCTTAATCCTAAAATAAAAGACACTCAAAGTTCAAGTATGTAAAACCAAAAGAAAATATAAATCAACAAAACATGTTGTAAACAGACTTTTCTAACGAAAATCTGCTTGTGCTCCATCATTTCTAATTGACCAAAGATACATAACGTAAATGTTTTCCTTCATTACAGAGGATGGATCTGCCTCTAAAATGTATTATTTTTCGTAGTACAATGTATTCCCTACTAGGGATACCTGAAGGGCATATACGTATAAGTCTCTTTTCCGTCTGTTCGTCGATCTGTCAGTCAGTCTGTACCACTTAGTTTTCCGATTTTTTTGGTTCCGCTTCGATGATTTTTGAAGGAAATACTGGTATACCATACTGGTTTGTTTCTTTAGTTTGATGTACTCTTTTAGCATAACTTGATTTAACCTGTGTATTGTAATGAGATCAAAATTTTATTGCCTCAGTCCCGCTTGAATACACATTACTTTTTTTCTTTCATACGCTCTTTTCCAGCGTGTACTTCTAAGGCATTTGATCCTTTTTAAACTTTAAGTTTAGCACTTTACTACATTTTACATCGTTTTCAAGCATAAGTTTTGTGGGTAGGGGCAATAAAAAAAATATGTGAAGCAATCTACATGCTCTCGGGACGAAGTCGGAAACATCCCATCCAATGATTAGAACATCATACCCTCAACAAATGTAAAATTGCGTTAAATCTACGTTAAAAAACATTATCTGTTTTGTCGTAGCAGCTTAGTATGCATTTACAAACTTTGCAAAAATATAATCTGATAAAGCAAAATAGACCTTAACACGGAAAATTTACTGATTGTAGTTCCTAAACTAATTTTCGTGAAGAATTGATGTAACCGAAATCCAGTCTTATGATAAAACAAGTCTTGTAATGGATTGTTGCAAGTCGGAATGCAGTAAAGATAACATTCATTTGAAAATACATTATTTGTTTATATAATCATTGACGGCATTGGCATATTTAAGATAATGCTTACTAGCAACTCATTCGTGAGAATTTGTCGGTAATGCTTACAATGTATAAACCCTCCTTCACATTAATTGATATCATGGACATAGATTTCAAAAATATGTCCGATTTCTTAAAGTTTTGCGAGAATAAATCCATTCGATAAAGTATCTACCTTGTCAGTAGTTAAGAAAAAAGGTAATTTTTTCAGGCGAAAATTGGATTATTAAACTCTACTTCAAATAACAAATAACAAGCTCTTATTTCACACTGTAATTATTGTGTTGTAATCTTAAGACAAAAGCTTTGTTAAAATCAAAGTAGCGTAAAGTTATTTTAATTTTTGTAATCGGTCTTTTGTAGGGTGTGCTTTGACGGTACAAATATGCTGTTTTACTTTGTTCGGTTGTTCATGTTTTACGTGATTAAAAATATAACTGGAATTATATTTGCATGTCTTTCCGAGAACGTGTATTATTGCTTCAGGTCCGGTGTGAGTAATTTTAGTTAGTGGCATTAGGAAAAGCAAATACCAAAAATTAATTGACAAGCAAAAATGGTCATATCGCAGCTAGGTTAAGGACGCCTATGAAATATACGCCTAAATATATTCACAGAAAATGAATACAATTTTTAATTTTTTTTAACAGCATAAATTTTGATGAATGTGCATTGTGGTGTTTGCACTTGTATATATCGGGTCTCTGCTGAGTTCGGCCAAAGCAACCTCGCTTACATCAGTTGCTTGTCACGTGACAGGTTTAAAATTAGAACACATTTATACTACTACAAAGACCGTAAAAGATCAACGATATACGGGTATCTTTCCGCTATAAAATTTATTCTGTTTTGTTTAAGACAAATTTTTTAACATGAAAAGTGCTGGGAGCAACTTCCTCATGCTCGGTAATTGTGTAAAATTTAGCCGTCTTTCTAAAAACTCCAGACATAGATGTAATACGCACTGTAATAATGTTACATTACGGAATAAATATACAATGCACAACCAGCTTCTAGCACTTTTTAGAATAGTAGGAATAAGTGCTACACGTGTTTAAAAATTCAGAATTTATAGTGAAGCGGATATCATTGAACTTTTGATATTTTCGAGGGGCTGGACCCCTCACTCTAGCTCATTACTGTACAAATGTGATCCCTACGGCTGTATATAAAGTCTACACATTATCAATTTAGTTTGACAATAAAATGTGGATTGATATATCTTAGAATATGTATTTAATCTGGTCCAATTAAACTTGTTTCGTATTTCTTTTTATTTTTACAAGCTACGATGGTAGCTTGAGCAACGCCTCAAGTACAGAGAAACTGCGTGTCAAACTAAGAAATGACGTCATCTCAGTAAGTACAGCGAGACCAAGCTGGCTTTCATTCTACATACTCAAAGTGATAATTTTTCAAGATAAGTTGCTCACCCATTTATCTTAAAAATATTTATAGTATGATAAACGAAAGTATTTCAGGGTGTTTTAAAAAGAACATATAGTATTCATTCATCGAGATTCATTTGAATTGTTTTAACGTGACGTCATAATAGCTTTCCTGAACCTCTGCATAGGCTGTTGTAGATATGGGAGTCCTTAACCTAACTGTGGTGTTCTTATTACTGAAGTGTCGAAAACATTAATTAGCTTTGATATCTATTGTGTAGTATATTATGGCAAAATTATTGGGGCCTGTGTTTCGACTTTTTGAAAGTTTGGCCAACTAAATAACAAAATCATTTCCAACATGCCATACACACTTTAACATGTTACTTTCTGTCTTTCACAGTCAAATTTTAAGCCAATTGCGATAAACAGTTTCAATATCCTGAGTTGGATTTCAAATATATAGCTCAAAAAACCATCTTCGTTATTAATGAATCTAGAGCAATGAGATAGTTCTCTTGCAAGCTTCCCAAATATTCAAAATGAAAAAATGAAACAATCAAAATGTTCTCAGTACTTGTTTTAATGTAGTGACACTAAGAACACAATTTCAGACTTGAGTTTCTTAGTTACTCCATATCTTCATCTATCCTGGCCTCCTCATGTCTTCAATCTCTCTTTGGTCTTCCTCATTCAGACCTCTTCCGATTTCCTCATACAGATCTCTTCCGCGAAAGCGTCTCTCTGTCAAATGAAATGCTTTATATTGAACTTATCTTTTAAATGCTCTAAAAAGCGTAGGTTCCTTTAATTGTTCAAGTGATAGATCAATTTAATCATTGCAATTTATCTATGACACCAATTGTAAGGAGGATTGATTGTATGTTGTTTTACGTCCCATTCGAGAATTTTTCACTCATATAGAGACGTCACCATATACCGGTGAAGGGCTTTAAATTTTGAACTTTAATCGGCACTCAGGGCCATAGAGCAGTGAGGGATCTTTATCTTGCCAACGCCTACCGTGACATAGGGCCTCAGTTTTTTAAGGTCTTATCCGAAGGGCCCGCAACTTCCACTTCAAAGTGGCGAGCGCATGGCGAAGGAACAGTTGCTGCCCATTTTTTATCGACTTATGTCAGTCGCGGCCGAGATTCGAACTCACGACCTCCCGATCACAGAGCAAGCGCTCTACCGACTGAGCTACCATGAACGGTAATTGTAAATAGGAAAGAATTTAAATAGTCATATTTATAACTTCGCAGTCCTACAGAAAGAACCACTTCTTTGGTGCTGAATCGTAATGTGCAGTTGTCGGAGGTAGTTTTTTTTTTCAACAATTCTTTTTGACCAAAAAAAAAAAAAAAAAACAAAAACAAAAAAAAACAAAACAAAACAAAACAAAAAAAAAAACAAAACAAAAAAAAAAAAAAAAAACAAACAAACAAACAAACAAACAAAACAAAACCTCTTGATACAATTATACCGAGGAGAGAATTGCACTTACTTCGATATGTAATCGACTTTCTTTGTGAAGAAATCTTACTTACTTTTGCAATAAAACTTCACTCTTAGGTATTTGTAGGTTCCTTTACATGGATCTCCAAATACGGAATTGCTGGCTTTAAAGGAGCATCTACTTTTCCCGTGGCATAATTTTTTTTACTACAAACAGGGATTTTCTGGATCTACAAGTTGTGCTCCAATGACTAGCACCCTTTCTTGAACAGGTTCTTGAGTTTTGTCGGCCATACGTAGCAGAGTGCACTAGAATGGACCGATGTCCTCCGCAATTCAATTTCATTAGGCGATGTTCACATACTGTTGCCGTGTGTACATACCTTCCTGTTATTTTAATAAAATTATGCAATGAAAACATCTAACAGAATTATATCAATTCTTTAATTATCTAAACAAAATAGTGATTGCAAGTTTTCCATAATTTCTGCAACAATAAAATATTTTTTCCTTCTCGAACAATATCCCATCCTTTTGTCATTGACCTTGACTATTCTAAGGCGTCGTGGAATCTGGGTATAACTTTCATTTATAAACCACAAAATTTTGACTTCTTCTTTGAAACTTAATTTTTAATTTCCAATTTTGATTTTCCACTTGCTGATACAGTGTATATAATTTTATCAGTTTTGGAATATAATTTATGTAAATGGTAAAAAAGAGGAGCCAGTAATATTGGTCAACATATTAGCTATTAACTAGGAAGAAGTATAAGTGTAATTACGAATACTTAATTTTATACTGACAACCACATATTATCTGACCCCTGTGGATTTTCAGAAGATATGATGCTCAAATAAAAAGTTCCTCCTTTAACAAAGCTATTCCATACGATCTTAAACTTATTTTTGCAGGTACATGAGTTCAAATACTAGTATTCAGTTCTTTGCCTGAATCCACTTAAGGTGAAAAATAGACTATTGTAAAAAAAAAAAAAAAAAAAGGTAAAGATCAAGCTTTAAAAAAAAATACATTACAAATATGTAAACAGGGCATAAAACACGGACCCCCGGAAATTCCAGAGGTGGGAGCAGGAGCCTAGGAGGAGTGAGCACCTTTTGTCGACCTGTCACACCCGTAATTAGCCCTATGTACTGATCAGGAAGACGGATTAATCTATCGAAGAAAGTATAACTTAAAAAAATAACCTGGTATAGAAAAATTACATATTTTCTTCCATAAATATTTAAAATGATTAATAATACTCACTTCTTCTCCACCAGAAACCATCAGTATCTTGAAATATTAAAAGATAATTAAAGTAAATAAAATATACGGAAATTACTTAGAATAACAAGATACACAGTGAATGTTTTACCTCGTATAATTTATGTGAGTTATTTTCTCATACACTAGAGACATTAAATTGTAGTACCTTGTATTACAAGAACCACAGCTAGCAGAACCAAGATCTTCCACATTTTTTCTTCTGTGTGTCGAATGAAACATGTATGTCAATCTTATCATATTTATATAATATTTTCCCTGTAATCGATGTCCGGTCAATTTATGGAAATTTACGAAACATGTGATGGCACAGTGTTAATTAACTGTAGAATTCTTTGAAGAATCATTGAACCATTTGTCGATCGACCAGTGGCTAATAATGAAGAGAACATCTGCAGTAATTTTCTGTATGTCAACTCATGATTAAAAAAAATTGGATGAAAGCTGTTATTAAATATTAATCCTAAGAACAGAAATTCGGCCCTTTATACAATGAAATATATCGAGATAACAAAATATTCAAGCTTAAAAGTCCATTAAACAATACAAATTTGGCGCAGAGCAAACACGGACCTCTAAAACATCAGAGGTTGGATCAGGAAGCATCCCCTGCCGACCGGTCACACCCGCCATGTGCTCCTTGCCATGATCAGGAAGGCGGAAATAAACCGTAGATTATTCAGTGTGTAAATAATAGCTTAATAATTTGTATGAAAAACACAGTCAGCATTCGAGTTAAGAAAAATTGTATTTGCTGACAAGGTCATTGTATCGACCATAGAACTTGCGAAATGACGTCTTATACGTGATTGTTGATATTCTTGTTACATCAATTGTTTGTCAATAGCGTGCCTCGTTTCGGAAAATGTTCGTACGTAGCTCTTGTGTTTCGAATCAACTGGAGACACAAACCCCATATGCAGGTGATAAGGGTATATTGCTACATAAATAAGGGAAGTTGACGATAGAAAAGTTAAATTAATCACGTTTATCGCAAAGTTTTGTTGTTAGGTTACCATTACCATTAACGACTAGTCTAGTAAAATATCCAAACATGAAACAGATGTCAGACTCTGTGATATCTTTAATTTCAAGTTCACTGGGATATACCGAGTCGACAATGAATGGAAGAAACTAATTAATAACTGATAATACTTCGTCGATATTGTTATGCGATCAATCTTTCGTTGTTATCTTCACCTTTTTCATATATTTTTATTATTATCATTATTATTATTATGATTATTATAATGATAGTTGTCTAGATAGGAAAAAATAGGAACAATCATACACATTCTGACTATTAGTTATGAAGTATAACAGTAGCAAGGATTGATAATAAATTCCATTTTATTCAAATTAACCTAGCCACATGATAAACCCACTGCATTAAATGTAAATTTCCCAAGGTGTGATTTTTAAGGAGAGTTCAAAATTACTTTTTGAAGAATACTTTAAAAACAATATTCTAACTTTTATTAAATTCTGGAGTATTAAGTTCCAAAAATTGTCAAAGTTATACTTCTTGGAGAAACATAATCGGCTTTGAAGATAATTCCCTTGTAATTTTGTTTTTATACTGAATTTGACCTGAATGTTCCTTCTACTTGATCAATACATAGGACATAGGGTCCTATATAGGGTATGACCGGTCAACAGGAGATGCTTACTACTCCTAGGCACCTGATCCCATGCACCTCTGAAATATTCGGGGGTCTGTGTATTATGCTCTCTTCATAGATTTGTATTGTTTACAGATTTTTTGAGATCGATCACTGTTTGTTATCCTCACCTTTTCATATTGCAAATAAATTATGAGCTTTGCTTACATTCGATATTTTTTGTAAGATTTGTGTGTTTGTTTTGGGCGGGGGAGAATATGACGATGGAGAATATGAATAACTTTCATTGACATTTTAGGTACAGTGCATCTAAAATCATATAGTATAGAATACTATACTATAATATAATCTCTTTTTAATTAAATGTTAAAACCATAAGATGTTGTCCATCAAAAAAGTATTTTTGGGGACATGGAACTATTAACAAATATTGAAAAATATACTGACACGCAAAAGAAACGCAACAAGTAGTAGACTACAATTATCTGATCTAATCATTTTTTACTCAATGATTTTTTTTTAAATGAATGCAGTGAGGTGGAACTTGATTTTAAAACATCAGATATTTGATTTAAATGTTGAATGTTATCCTTAGACTTTAGAAAGTAACACATAACTGTAAAAACATCCCCTCTTAGCGATTTAATTACAGTGTGCAAGTCCGCCATGCACAACAATTGCAACTTGATTTCCACAATGCATCTATCTCTCGATCTGAGCGAAAGAAATATTCTTTGGTATTTTTAAGTGCATGTTTTTCAGATGCTGAGGTCGAATTTTCTATAACCTGGCACAGTATAGTAACACTTGGACTTCTGGTCCAAGAAATGTCATTCATGCTTATGATATGTATGCTTAATGAGGCGTAATGTAGTGCATATTTGTATCTGCAAGTCACCTTCACCTTTATTTTGAGAATTTCCAGCTGCTTTCATTCATTTTGAGGAAGCCTTGGTTTCACATCGGGAAAAGAAAGAATTTTTTCGAAATATTACTGCAATACTTATGATTTACAGATACAAACCCTTGAAAATCCATATCATTGCTTTATGTTTTGTTGTAATATTTGATTTCTGATAAGCGGGCTCAAACTTAACTTCCGGTAACGGGATGAAAATCGTTTAACCGTTAAATTACCGATTTGGCAAATTTGAAGATGTCCTTACGGTAAAAAGCTATATCCTATATGTAATTTCCTCCCAGAATAGAACGTTTGCGTTCCTTTTGCGTGTCAGTATAATATCTATCATTATTTTACATTCATATCTGAAGTACGAGGGTTAATCCTAAAGTAATGTCACAATTAACTGCTCAAAAATCTGAAATAATCAAATATTATCAACAAAATATCACATACAAATACACATATCTATTTTGATTCTTGCCTTAAAATTTCACTCGATTACATAAAATGCTTTTTAAAATATTAAGATAAACAAAACGTCAGGTTATGTCGGCAAGAATGTTACCAACGACATTTTGACGTTACTTTCTGTACATCCATCTCTCATCACCTCTCAAGTCTTCTTATTAATAACCTTTACTCTCACTTTGCTATAAACCGTCTCGTTTTGAGTTGTAGTATTAAAATCATTTGAACTTTGTACAAATGTTATTTCTAAATTCATTCCATCTTGGGTAAAAAAATCTATCATCCGATTTGAAATGATCGAGTGTCGAAGAGAAGCGTCCTAACGACGTCGGTACATTCTTGCCGTGCGGCGACAGACGAAGTCCAAGGTTGTGGGGGTTTTTTTCAATATTTTATATTATATTTTATAAAGTATTGCATATATCTTAATGAAACTTTAGGACAAAAGTAAAAATAGATAGAGGTATTGGTACATGAAATATGGAGATAACGAAGGGTTTTCAAGCTCAAAACCCATTAAAACAATACAAATCGGAAGTAGAGCAAACACGGACCTCCAAAAACAGAGGTGGATCAGGTGCCATGGAGGAGCGAGCATCCCCCGCCGACCGGCCACACTCACTGTGCGCTCCCTACAATGATCGGTAAATAACGGAAAAATCCGTAGACAATTCAGTGTGTAAATAATGGCCAAACAATCAGCACGATAAACGTCAGTCAGTATATGACTTAATGATAGAATGTATTTGCCGACAAGGTCACTGTATCGACCACAGAACCTACGAAATGATGACCCCAAACGAGACTGTTGATATTCTTGTTTCATCAACTTGTTTGTTAATAATTTGCCTCGTTTTAGAAACCGTCCACAAGCAGAGCATGCCCACCGCGCACCGAATCAA